AGGCCACTTTCAAGTTCTGGTCATCCTTGAAATTACCTATCATGTCACACATATCTTGAATCATACCAATTGCTAGGCGTTGCCACCTGGTTATTTCAGATGTGATTGACTAATAATTAAATGGCAAGCTGAGCTCCCAGATTTTCCCACTGATGAAGGCCCACTAAATTCACTAGTGCTTTAGAGACAACCAAACAATTCCAGGTCATCGACCCAAGAATAAACGTCCAAGAATAAGAATCTGATGTCTTGTTTAATTTTATATGTAGAATACTGTAATCTGAAATTTACATTCTGGCTTACCATGAGTTTTCCAGCTCAGCCCACAAATACTAAGAATCATGAATGATAGCAAACAAACCTCAGGACCAAAAGCTGCATCCTCAAATATTGGTTTCAGCCGAACAGGAAAAAAAAAAAGCAATGATCACTTTCTTTTTTAACCTAAACACAGAAGATCAGAGCCAAGAATCCTTCTTACGATACCATAAATGATGACTTCCAGCCATAACTTTGCCCTCTTAATGATTAGGCAATACTTTCCATGAAACATGAAAGTTCATGAACTTTAAATGGGCTATGGTAAAATTCATTCATCATTGCACCAATTATCAAGACCTCAATGAAATTGTAATCTCTGTATTCTTCACCACCAACGAATGCAAATAGCCAACGTATCAGTGATGGAGGTCATCAATAAACAGAATGGTGGAATTATATAATTTTCCAACACTTAACGGTCAAGCATACACCATCTAAATGTTAAGACCGCATTTAAAAGGTCCTTGTTATAGCAGCTGGGACCTTCACCTTCCTAAGATCAATGGAATACTCAAAGATCCATCCTTCATGTAGGCATATGCCCCCAAGGAACTCAAAAGAATATAGAATCAACCTCTTAAATGCCATACGGAGATAAAACCTTCAGACCTCTCATTTGTCTAAAAAAGCATTCTAAGGAATAAGGATCGCATTGGTGACCCTTGTGCACCAAGGCTCCCAGGCCCTCCAAGGGTTAGGGAGGGAAGTCTCTGTATATTGTTTTTCCTTTATTTTGCAAAGTAGGTTGTTTTTTGTGGCTTGAACCCATGAGCTTTTGGTCACAAACAAATAACCTTGCAGATTGCTCCAAGACTCGTCCCTGTCTAAAATCACTTGGGATGATACAAATCAGCTAGGACATTCAAGGAGCGTTCAAGTCACGTAAATACCAACGTCACAACCTAGGCTCAACCTTGTGAAGGTTTTTCAAGATTAAGCTTCATGCTTGCTCAAGTATCGTAATTTCTAACTTGTATCACTCATCTTACAAGTTACAAGTTTCAACGTCAATATACCATTGTTGAGAAAAGAACGCCTAATGGGTACACCATTCTCGTTAATCGTAATTGGAAAAGTGAGTAAAGCTACCTAGTTTGTTCACATGCATCTAGTTTTATTTTGCAACTACTATGAAATACCTATATGGCTATATCCCTTTTCCTCTACAAGATAACAGCAAGTTCTAGTTGAATAAAGACATAAAAATTGGAACATGCCTACGAGTAAAAAAAATGGACATATCTGAATGCTAGGGCTTGCTTACAGTCCTCTGTGAGCAATCCGGAACCTAGTCTATACTGCACAGCAAAATAATAAAGCTAGAAACAATGAAGAGTCCCTTTACTCATACACAGCATACAGCAATTCATGATATCATGTAATTTCCTAATCCTACTAACAGCATTCTCCTTCACCTTGTAGGAATGTCTACATGCATGTGTAGATATCTACAAAAGCACCAAAAAGAACCAAAACCATGGGGATCAAAGACCAAAGCGAAGGCATTGCTCTCTAGGCATCAAATGCAACTAATGATGTCTCATATCTATACATAATGAGCATGACATGTTTTACGTATTGACAACCACTGGTTCCACATGAGAAAGATGTAGAACTATTAGCAGTTACCAAGTCAATCTGACAACTCGATCGTCGGTCCATCACACCATTCTAAATTCCATATAGCAACTCAAAATCTCATGCCTAAACTCATTCTCTATATATTTGTTATACCTATGATTTGACAAAAACATATTTGTAAATTAGCTGTAAATGCAGAAACAGTTAAAGTAATTCCAATTTAAAGTCTTTTCACGTTTACTTAGTCTTATTTCGTGGGTTAATTGGTTGTACTTGGTGGATTAATTAGTTGTACTTAGCGGGTCATTTGTTACAAGTAAGGTTGGTTAATCTGTTGGTGGTGAGTTAGCTTTTGCCATGATTTCCTAGTCTTTGGACTATGGCATGAACTTCGGGCTTACCCATGACCATTTAAAGGCATCATTAGAAAATTTCGATGTACAAGTTTTTTGACAAGAATTTAGTCTTCCTCCCAGCAAATTTTTTCTCCAATTATTATGCAAACACTATTTTCTAACTAAGACTGGCATCGAAGTCATTGCCATGAACGGCAAGATGCAAGTTTTTGTTCCTGACATGGATTGGAAAAATAACACCTGGTGAAACCAAGATGACAATATTATTTGACTACCATGGATAACTAATAAGGAGCATTAATGGTTATAAAGGTGTGACTTCAAACCTTACAACGTCAATATTAATTCTTATAAACAGATTCTCCTAAAACTCTTAACTTTTTCTTTGACAAATCAAATGAAATATATGGAAAAGAGTATGCGAATAAAAACAAAGTGAACAAGATCTTGCAATCTCTTTCAACACATTTGACCTTATCCTAGACTCCTGATGATGATAGAAAAAAGATGATCGTTGAGAAACCAAAAGAGTAAGCATTCCCAGGTTAAGTGTCCATCAAAGGTGCCAAAGTGGTACAAACCAAATGAGTGGCGGTTATCGTTGCAAAGGATGAGCATGTGGTGCCACTACAAACATAAAGGTCGTTATAACAATTATCATGGAGGAAGAGCTAACTTGAACATCAATCAAGAGAGATTAGATTCAAATTGACAACAGAACTCAAGTTACAGAACTCGTGGACGTGGTAAAGGAACATATGACAAACATGAGATTCCACATAAAAGACCAGGAAAAAGAAGTTACTCCCGATTCCACCGTAAATGAAGAGGCTGCACTAATTGATGCCAAAGGAGGTCTTTAGGAATGGGAAAGCCAAGAAGATGCTACAACAAGTTGCCCTACGAGATGTTGAGGTAAATCCATAAGATGCTATGAACGATGATAGAGATTGGATACACTTTGCTAGTTTGATATGTTTGTAAATTGTGAACTAGTGATATATGAGAAGGTGATTTGAGGTCCCAAATGGTGAATGCTAGAAACGAAGAATCAAAAGGAACAACACATGCAAACTTAGTACTATTCCACAATTTTACAAGACCATTGATATCAACTGAGTTTTAAGGACAAATATGAAGTCAAATAGCGAAGTAGAAAAGTACAAGGCAAGATTTATCGCAAAGGGATATGTACGATGCCTTGGTCTCGAATATCAAGAGACGTTCCATAGTTGCTTGAATAGGACCTATTAGACTCATGATTGCTTTAATGTGCTTAATCATTGAAAAATCCATCACATGGATGTTAAGCTAGCCTTCCTCAATGGCCCACTTAAGAAAGAAAAAAAAATTCGAGCAGCCACAATTTGTTATAAAGAAGGGGAATGAAGATGAAGTGTATAGATTGAAAAAAAGCATTGTAGGGGCTAAGCTAGGCACCTCAAGCATGTAACAAATATATTAGCTCTTTATTCACCACTTCATATTTGGAAAGTGTCCTTCAAATAGAGTGTGAATGTGTACATCAACATATATTTGCTCTTTATTACTATGTTTTTGCATTGATCTTTACGGGTAATAGTAATACGATGATTGAGGCCTTTAAGAAGTCCATGATACATGAGTTCAAAATGGCATACAACTAATGAACTAAACCAAAGTAAACAAACGCAGTATATCCGACTTGAAAGTAAGGTACGGGAGGAGTAGGATGTACACAAGCCTTACCTCAATCACTAGGATCGAGAGGTTGTTCCCGAGTTTGAAATGACATATCTTGGCTTAATGTCATTTTTTCCTTGCATGGAAGTAGTTCAATAAGATGATGGGATTTTTGTTTGTCAAAAGAGGTATGCTTTAGAACTTTGAAAGAAATTCCATATAAGTGGAGGTTGGAACGAAATAGTCCAAAGAAGGACATAGAACAGAAGTCGATCCCACTTATCTCAAGCAAATTGTTGGGACCTCAAGGTATCTCAGATGCTCAAGGCCCGAGGTTTTGTATGGAATTGCTTTGATAAGCAAGTTCATGCAATCTCCTCATCTATCTCATATGCAAGTTACAAAGGGACTAATGTACTACCTGGAAACCTAAGCAAATCTAAGTTACAAAGGTGCCTATGAGCATAACACACTATTCATCATCTAAGCAAATGTGTTCTTGTAGGCTACTTTGACAGTGATTGGGGTGATGACATTGGCAACCATAGAAGCACTTCTGGATACTGCTTCACTTTTGATACCACTCCATGGTCATGGTCATTGCCGAAACAGCCAATTGCCGCAGGTAATGGGTGGTTAGTATGTCAGTGGTGAGTTGATTTTTGCCATGATTTCCTAGTCTGTAACTCATGGCACGATATTGAAAAAATATGGGTTTGCCTATGACTATTTTAAAGGCCAGGTTTCAATGTACAAGTTGTTTCTCAAGAATTTAGTCTCCCTTCCTCCAACCCTTTCTCCAATTATCATACAAACACTATGTTCTCTTGTTAACTAACAAATACATCAGCATTTCATCCTAACATTTTCAGTTCAAAGACAATTGAGTTAAATAGGGTTGTAGAGTTAGAATTGAATTCAATCGATAGAACAAGGGAAGTAGCTGAACAATGCTTCACAAAAGGTAAAATGAAGGCAATATGATTACAAACGAAAAAACCCAAGTAAATCAGAGCAATATGCAGCAAATCTAAAGTTGACCCAGATGGTAAAAGTGAAAGTAGAAGTTTGAAATCTTACATTTCTTCCTTTCCAGACTTCGTACACCCTCTTCGCCATGTAAGAAAAACGAAAACCCCAATTCGGAAAACAAGACAATTAAGCGGGTAGAGAGTCGAATATGCGGAGCTGATTACAGCTCATAATCGGAGAAAGAGACAAATCTGTGTAAAATATAATAAAGAAAGTAAATTGAGAAGAGAGGGGTAAAAGGGTTTTTGCAGGTCGTCGTTTAGGATCTGAGATGGCGGTTTTCTAATGGAGAAGGTCATGGGAAATCATAATGATAAGCTGTGTGTTGTTTGGTATGCACATCATCACACAACAACAACAGTCTGTGTCAAAGCTTAAAGAAGCTACATCCATCTCTCTCGTGTCGCATTCAATCTGCAAATCAAAACAAATCAAGGACGGCTTTGAAATGCCTAATTTGTCCTTTCCAATCCTCAATTTACTAATTTGTCCCTTTCAATCCCTTCTCTTCGTTTTTTTAACCATTTCTCTTTCTAACCTTACTACTACTTACTTTATATTTTGTCTTCATATTGTAAATAAATAATTGGAGATACGGTAAATATGTTGAAATAAAACAGTGTACAACACCGACTGCTACTACTGTAAGTGAATTAAATGAGGATGATTAACAAAAGACGAAACAAAACTACAAGATTCAGAAAAGGAAACAAGAACCCAATTGACCATCTTGCTTGCAGCTCCACTTTTTCCAAAAATAGTTAAACCAGTGACAAAATGTAAAAACGATTGGTATTGCATATGCAAAATATGAATATTTATATCCAAATTTTGTATTAAATTTTCTAGGTTTTCAGGACAGCTTATACGCACCCTGGACAACTAGGATTGACCTAGAGTAATTGTAGGTGAACCTCCATAGCCACAACCCTCCCCCCCCCCCCCCCAGCCTTATCGACTGATTGAGTAAAAAATGCCCGTGTACATTGGTGTCCTTGGAAACAGGTTTCATATGGAGAGCTGGGTTGCTGGTAATTAACATTTTGTCCGGCATATATTAATGATTATTAGAATGGCTAATGACAATAACATATGTTCTTTGCACGATATAACAAAAATAAATCATATTACATATATGCTTAATTGTAACACTTCAAGATATAATTAAACTGTTATATAGAACTTATACCATATAGCACATATGTTTCTCTGGATATTAGTAAAATATTTATCGTCTTGGTGTCCATTTTGTTTGCAATTACGGGTTCATAATATTGATTGAAGGGTATATTTTTATTAACATTGTTTAACCAGGTGTACTTACTTGTCTAAAATTAAAAAAGAGGATCTATAATTGTTTTGTTTTTTTAAGGCAATAATATTTATAAAAAAAAAAAGCGAATATACAAGAAAATGAAAGTTATGAATTTTGTCATAAACAGAAAATAAGCCAACACCCGACAAAAGAAAGAGTTAAAACACAAAGAAAAACTCGCAACAAGACTAAGGTTGACCAACGAAAACAAAACATACACAACCGAACAACAACGAAACCAACCAAAGCTAACGACCACACACACCAAAAATACAAACCTACATACGCTCATCAAAACCATGCTTGTTGCACCAATCTGTCCAAGAGATGTTTAGATCCTTGGCTCGAACCGGAATCCACTGAAAAGATAATCTTTAACGAGTGTTACTCGTGATCAAAAGAGGAACGTCATTAAAAAAAAAAACATCTCGGATGAAAGTTGCTTTCTTGTCATGTTCGCAAACTGACGTGAGAAAGACAACTGTATTTTTTGTTTTTGTGAACGAAGAGAAACAAAAAAGAGTATCGATATTTTTTTTGTAATATTACGTAATACCCTTTTAAAGACTTCACAAGTGATGTCGTAGAAATGCAAGGTTTGAAAAACTTTAAGAAATTGAAATCATAGTTGTTTTTTTATCTGTAAATCAAACTTTAAAAAAAAATGTAATTAACGTATAAAATCATTCACAACAATTACAACCCATGATTACAAATCAAACTCATGAACGACACAAAATTCATCAGCATTATTCTAAACACATACCTAAAACCCGACAAACAAATTAAGACGGGTAACCATGAAACCGAAAAACATCATGTCTTTGAAGCGATTAGAAACTAACACGGGTTTGGTGAATACATTTCGTTTTGTACTAATGACGTAGCCGATGATTTGATTTGTGTTTTATTATGTTTTAATCATGGTTTACTCGTTAACACTTTGATGATGAAATAAATAAAATATAAATATTATTTAATCGTGAAAAAGCGAAATTAATTCGTCAAATGATGCAATCTACTTTTTTGTCATCGCCTTTTTAGAAACCCAAGAAGATGACACTCTAAACTCTCTCCTTTCTACATTCCTTTCCGTCCTACTCCCTTTATTTATTTATTTATATATTCTTAATCACTTTGAGAATTGATATTTTATATAATTTTTTTCATTTGAAGTTAACATTTAATATATCAATAAACCTACATACCTTTTATAATGTATTTGTTTCTTATATATATATATATATATATATATATATATATGTAGTTTATGATGTGAAATTTTTTTATATATAATTTTTGTTTCATAAACAAGTTTAAAATATTTATATTATAAAATAAATATATGTGAAACTATATATATATATATACATATATATATACATATATATATATATATTAAATTTTGATTTTTATATATAAAAGGATTATGTAATAGGTTTAAATTTTTATGTGGTATATAAGGTTGTAAATGAACTGAACGTTCAACAAACTGTATGGTGGGAAGTTCGTTTATGTTCGTTTATTTAATAAATGAACAAATATGAACAATTTTTTAACATGCACAAGTGTCTCGTTCGTTTATTTATCTTCGTGAACGTTTGTTTATGTTCGTTTATATATTAAATTTAGTATATAATCTTCTATTTATTTATTTTGAATTCAAATAATATTTATTTATATTCGTTTAATCCGTTCGTTTATGTTCGTTTAACATATTAACAAACGAACATAAACGAACACACCTTAGTTCTAGACGAACGAACACGAATATACAGATTTTCGTTCGTGTTCGTTCGTTTGTTCAGATAAGTTAAACGAACAAACATAAATAATCCTCCACCATTTACAATCCTAATGGTATATATACAAAAACATGTATTTTCGTGTATATATATATATATATATGTCTATTAATAGTGGGTTTGGTCCCACAGAGCATGTGAAGAGCAATTGAGGAATTTGGACATGTAGGTCCCCACACCACACCTCATGATGCTCAGCGTGAACAATTAAAACGCCTTTCTATTTTCTCTTTCCAAATTCTACACCCTTCTATTTTTTATTACATAATTAATTAACCTCTTTAACTTTCAGTATATCAGGGTCCGGTTGGGGGTATTAGAAGGTAATGAATAAAAATGATAATTATTGATTATATCTGGTTCAATTAAGAAAAGAAAATGAAATAAAAAATAATGTTTGGTTTCAAAAAATTAATCAATCATTATAACAGATTTGGTTAAAAATCATTTCTCCTCAATTTACAGGAAATAGAAACTTTATCTCTTAATTCTGCCTCTCACTTCTTCTCGTCTACCAAGACGTCCATTGAAAAGATGATATGATACGATAGATTAGGTGACTATCAAGTTTTTTTTTATTAATTAATTTTAAGGAATCCCTAATAATTTTCAGTTCGTCATATTCAACATCCTATAAGATTAGTCAAAATACACACAAGTTTACTTGTAGTTAACCAAAACAACGTAAACATGCCTTTTATACATCGTTTCGTTCTAAATACTGTTATTAAATGACCACCTTATGCAGTCTTATAATATACACACCAATACTTGTATTTAAAACGATTTTTTAGTCGAAAAAACATGAATATTGATATAATGAAACGTAAAACTTTTATCTATATTACCTTATAAAACAGATTTGTTAAAAGTCTTAAAAACAATTTTTAATGCACAAAGTACTATACATTTACACACAAAGTATTAAAAGTCTTAAAAACAATTCATAATGCATTAAGTACTACTACTTTATGCATTCAGTCTTAAAATCTCTTAATCTACAATTAAAATAAATATAGTACAAGTTACCAATGCATATTATTACCTTTTCTTTCCATGTTACCAATATACTTTTGACACATTTCACTCATGCCTTCACCCTCTCATACCTCTATGTCTTCTCTCCATCCCCTAAGGTGAGATTCAAACTGATATTCACCATGAGTTATTAAAAGTTCTCATATTCATCTCTCATTCAATTGCTCTGGAACTCTCGGTCTCGGTCTCGCTCTCGATCTCTTGATTCTTTGCTTTTGGTGTAAATCGAACACATTTGTGGAGTCGTTTAAATATGTTGGATTTTAAATATATTGGATTTTAAACTGTCATACAACTTTTTCCATCGATAGACTGTAATTGGAATCATAACTCTTATTTATTCAAATTGTATTAATATGTAAAGACCAAATGTAACTTATATCATCGTTAAATATTCTCTAATAAAACCAGTGAAACTTCAAAATCGTTAAAATTCACGACTCCCGTTGCATTGCGCGGGTACACAACTAGTTATCTATTTATTGACATGTTTGTATTTAAGCTTGAAAATTTTAAAAAAAATATTATAAAATATAATTAATTAAGCTTTTATATATTATAAATGAATATGTATATATGGTACTATATATATATATACACACACAAGAGGCACAAACAAGGGAGAGAGTTTAAGATGGAAAAAAGCAAATCATTTCCAGAATACTCATCTTCATACATAAATGGTTTCGGATCTAAAGATCGATCAAGATCATACGCATTCAACGGTCCCGTTGCTACCGATGGCGAAAAGAAGCGGAAGCAAAGGATCGCGGGCTATAACATGTTCACCACCGGAACTAAGTTGAAATCAACCGTCAAAGATGGCTTCAAATGGATCAAAAACAAGTTTACAGATGTTCGTTACGGTATCTAAATTGCATCATTCATTCATCCATTTTGTAAATCTTAATTGTATCCGTTTAATTTGGCTTCATCATGTATCAAATTTCCGGTTAATCATATCTCTTTAACCTGTACTTTTTATGTTACAATTGGTTTAAGAGTTAAGACCCGTGTGTATTCTTTTTTTTCCCTTAGAAAATCACGTATTATTTTGTCTGTTTTAATAAATATCGATAATCGTGTCATGGATGAAACAATTTTGAGCTATCGAATTGTAAAGATATCAAAAACTCCGAACTTTTATATCAAAAGCATTACAAAAGTTTACTTAAAAGTGCTTTGACGTTATTAATGTGCACAAAAAAAACAAGTTGGTGGCATC